TAATATCGAGTATGTTTACAGATAAGTATAATCCAGCAGTACTTACTACTACAATAGTTATCACGTGCTGCACATACATATCAGACTTAGCATCCAAAAGAAAAAAACGCCAGGCCTGCGCGGAAGTCGCAGCACATTTACAGCGAAAGCTAGAAAAGCGGCCTTTCGGAGCCTTTTCGAAACAGTCATTGGTACACTGCAAGTGCACTTGCTTGATACCCGCTAGGTCAGTTATTAATAAATTTCATTTGGATAGTTGGCCGGCATTCACTGTGCTATTTTTCATCCTTCTTCTGAGAAGCGTGGTATCCGCTAAACACTTGCAAGGAATTTTGTGCCGATTGTTCATGCAGTGGCTGGCGACGATAAGGAACTATAGCTGAAGTGGGTGTTCGCCACAGTTAATAAGGAAACAAGAACAAGCTTTTGGGATGGGACGGAGTATTGGACGGCTCACTCGTTACGCTTTTCGCATTGTGCAACGACTGGAACTGTTGTCATGTTCCGTAGCACCCGCTATGGCTAGAGTTGGCTGGAGCAGCCTGTATTTCTTGAGATATGTGTACGTTCCAATACTGTATTTACACGTATAATGCTGGCAACACTGCAAATACCCCAGTGTATTAGCGATGGGGTACGCGATGCGAGTGGATTAAAACCAAGTGGTCACGTAACTTTAGGCATTCAGTGACCTATTTCGCTGCATATGTGTAAGCGCTTCGGCTTTAATATGAGGGTAAACAGTCTAGCTAGTTAACACTAATCCCCTGTGGGGTTTGACGCTGGGAAATCCAACGTGCAGACCGCGTTCACTGCTTGCCTCTTGTAGCTTTAATTAGCGACTGCGGTGTTTAAAGTTATTCGCTCTCGTATTATAGTTTCCAAACTGGTAGTGTGAAGAGTAAAATACAGAAAAGCAAGTTTTCTGTAACTTTCTCTCTTCCCGTCTCGTCACTGTTTTGTTACTGCACCGCTGAAAGACAAGCTTCTTCAGCGTGTTTGACGCGTGCTAATTCCTGTCGCTTTACGAAACCGCACGTACTTTGGAGTGGCCGCCTTCTGACTTTTTATAACTTGTTATTCCTAATTTATTTTTATTTCACTGAATCCTCGATGTTACTACCAAATCCCTCGTGATGACAGTTTGTAGTGCCAATATGTTTCAAAATGCCATGTCCCTGAACTATGCTGCGCGGTAGGCACAGCACAACCACAGCGAAAGCTACAAGAGCGGCCTTTCAGAGCCTTTTCAAAAGACTCATTTGGTAAGTATACTGCAAGCACACTTGCTTGGTACCACTAGGGCATTATAATAAACTTTTGAGTAATAGGCTCGCATTAGCTAGGCTATTTTTCGTCATTCTTCTGAGAAGCGTGGTATCCGCTAAAGAGTTGCAAGGAATTTTGTGCCAATTGTCCATGCAGTGACTGCGCAGGCCAGGCTATAGGATATTTTCTTTGTTTTTGTTCATTTTTAGAGAGAGGCTCACAAAACTTTTCTGGTCTATTTTTGTTCCCGAACGTGTAAACCATGCTTCTCGGAAGAATGACAAAAAATAGCATAGCAAATGCCGGCCTATAATATCCAAAAGTTTATTATTAATGCCCTAGTGGATACAAAGCAAGTATGCTTGCAGTAGTTACCCACTGAGTGTTTTGAAAAGGCTCTGAAAGGCCGCTCTTCTAGCTTTCGCTGCGACTGTGCTGCGCCTATACCGCGCAGGCCTGGCGTTTTTTTCTGTCTCTGTTGTGTATGCGCACTTTTATGCAGAATAATGTTTTGTGGAAAATTCGTGCACGAAGAGATGGATTATTTCGAAATGTGATGATGTGAACTATACCAGCACCCGACTCATATTAGTAAGCTGCCGTGAACTCGAACAAAGATAGAAATGAGATTCTGACATGTCCAACCCTGAGTCGTACTCTCAACTGAGGCAGCGGTAATTAGGCATTTGGCTTACTTCAACCTCACCTCCAAGTGTCCTATTTCTTGCACTCAAATTACTGAAGCACGATTTCTTGCTTCGCCGGACACTCGTGCTGAAAAGAACGAGCTGTCAGTCATATAGTATAGATGTATATCACTCTAGAGTGCGCCATTCAGCGAGTAAGAAACAAAGACACCGGGATGTCTCATTTTCATACTTTATACAATGAAGGGCACAAAAAAAGCAACCATACAGCCATGCTGATAAGAATGAAGCGGTCGGTGACGTGTTGTGCCAAATCAGGAAGCGCATCCAATGAGAGGCAGCGAAGGAAGCTGGCTCTAATGGTGGCGATGGCGGAACGTGAGCGCTCTGCTTTGATTTCTTTCCACCTCTTGTCCTCTCCTTTTCCCAAAATCACTCAAAATGCAGTGAGGCGAACCACCGCTACTTAGACATGCCCATTGTCTATCCCTTTTTACATAATCATACCGCCCTTCACCAACGCTAGCGGTGAAGAAAACTAGGTTTGGGAGATTAAAGCTCTTACTCGCATTAAGTGTACAAAATATGACAAATACATTGAATACATCCTGCGGGGGACGGGCCTATAGTATTTTAGCCCATCATGCTCTAAACACCTAAACTGCTGCGCCAGTCACAGAGGCTTACGAAATGGCCGCGATCAAAGGCGGCGAAAGGAAGTTCGGATTCGAGGAAAAGTCAAAAGAGGCTTTGGAACCTTTATCGTAGGGGATTACAGGGCCTGACTTAAGAAGGTTTTTTTAGAGTCTGAAAAGATTGACTCTGTGGGCGACCGTGCGGAGGCCACACTGAGATTGAGAAAATTGGAACACAATGCAATGTATTCACTCGTGTTATTGGTGAAGCATGCAAATAATTGGGGAACAAGGCGTTTGTGCCATCTTTTCGAATACCGAAAGGAAATACCACTGCTTTCCATCAGCTATATACCGATCTTGAGATCAACGGCAGGCTCCTCTAAACACTGCGTTTCATAACGATGCGTCTTCCGCGATCCGCTTGTTTATTTCAAACTGCACCGCGTAGCATAAGCGAGAGTGTGGCTCTAGCCGGCACGTACTATTCTCAATACATCGAAAGCCTAAGGCGGATCATCGCGTAGCATAAGGGAGAGTGTGGCTCTAGCCGGCACGTACTATGCTCAATACATCCAAAGCCTCTGGCTGATTAATGTTCAGAAAGGCGCCGGTGATTCAAGCTTGCAGCATGCAGAGCACGACGCCGATGGTGGTCGCTGCTGTTGCGACAGCACTTTTCGGTTTGTTTTACGTTTCGATCGCAAGCCCCGATTTTCCGTTCCCACTCCTCAGCTGCACGACGCTATAACGCTCCGCGCTAGGACACTCGTGTTTATTTAGTGGTCTTTTTTGCCTTTTTTAGAGAAGATAAAATAGAAAACAAAAGTATCGTCGAGACACTTCCAGGTAACTGCGGTGCAACACGGGTTTGCTGTATATTTTATTTTTAGTGGCACCTTAGGCTATCGAAATGTTAGTGACTGCTAGGATATTTTCTTTGTTTTCGTTCATTGCTGAAGGGAGGCTCATAAAACTTATCTGGTCTAATTTTCCCCCGAGCATGTAAACTGGCATCAAAAACTCTCCATGCGTTATCACGGGTCAATTTCGGAAGATTCGGGTCAACTTCCGAATTACCAGAAAGTTTAACACTATTATAATGTGAAGTCATGCTTGTTCATAAAAGAAATACTGCGCTGCAAGTAAATATTGTCTTGTATTACGTTAAGTAGATTTCCTGTTTTATGCTTACTCACTTCTGATGCAGCAGGTGCTCATTGAGTTCCTTTTTTTCGCAAACTGATTCTCATTGCATTGCCAGCGTGAACTGACACAATTATAAATTATTAAGCGAAGAATTATATGAATTTTTTATAACAGTGGCAATGGCCTTGCATGGCATTTTTAGCCAAACACGGCTGTCGTAGCGGAAAAAGAACCCACAACCATATTTATAAAAGTCGTTGCGATGCGACCAAACGTGTTGAGAAGAACTTCGTAGTAGTTATGGTGTGCGGAACATTTTTTCAATATCTTACATAGTTAAATCCTACAAGTAATTTATTTGTATTTTCGTTTTACAAAGAAAGAAAAACGAGGACGGTGAACAAATGAATCAAGGCCTTTTGTCTTTATTGAAAAAACAGTCTAATTTTCATCGTTACATTGGTCTTAGATTTCCGAACAAGGCCCCGAAGGTGAAAATTCTGGCTTCAAGGTGTAATGTGTGGTGGCTGAATGTTAAGTTGTTGTGAGAAAGCGTTCAAAGGAATTTCGTCACATTATCAGGGATCGCTAGTTGCGGCGACACAGTGAAGCATGAAAGAATTAGTAATGCAGGTTTTGTTTGTACATCCCATAATGTTTGGACGCCTTATTGAAGCCGTTTGTTACCCGGTGCAGTTGTACTTACCTGAACTGCGGTTACTAGTATGCAATAAACTTTACTATATGCGTTTTGATTGTCCTGTCTGTAACATGTTTTGATTTCAATTATCAGAGCGGCTTTACCGAGAGAAACATTTAAAATTATACAAATTGTGACAGCATGTCTTGGGTTCGTAAACAATTCGCTTGATAAGTTACACATGCATAGCATGGGTAAAATTTGAGCAAGTGTCATCGGTGCTCACACTAACATGAATTTTTTCCTTTTGTTTCATGTTCGCAGGTATCCATGAAGGCACGACAGTACGACCAATGGAATATTACCAAACTTAATCGTCGTACCCGCGGTGAACACAGAATATGGAATTGAGCGCTCCTCAACAACACTTTGCTCTTCATAGTGGTGTAATCTACGTCAATCACACAGCCCGAAGCCACGCACCAGCCTTCCCTGATACCGTTGCCTTGGGTGATTCTCCGTCGATATTTCTGCCCTTTGTGCCGTCCAGTGATGCGAATGCGTTTGCTTCAGCCACCGCGGTCGACGTAGAAGACGACCAATCGTCGCCGTCACTGAGCTTCATCAGTCTCGAAGTCCACTTCACGCTACTGCTCGTCATCATGGTTACCAGCGTTGCTATCAATGGACTCGTCTTTGTACTCTTCTACCAGCGACCTTCGGTGCGCATGACTTCAAACAAGTTCGTCTTGAACATGGCAATCGTGTACCTCCTACAGACTTTCATCCTTCTGCCATTCGTTTTCGTGTCCATCGTGTTTCGAGAGTGGATATTCGGGGACGTTTGGTGCAAGCTGCATGGTGCCCTCTCCCTGTGCTTCACGCTAGCGAACGTTTTCTCCATTCTCCTCATAGCCGTAGACAGAAACTGCGCGGTCAACAGTCCGTTGCACTATTCGATGACCATCACGAAGAAACGGACAAGTGGCCTCATCGTATCAACTTGGCTCTTCGCCATTGTCATCGCATTGCCGCCGCTCTTCGGCGTCTCTGAGATTAAGTACCAGGAGAGCTGGGCCATGTGCACCGTAACCTGGCACGACGCAGGCTTTCTCACCGTAGCCTACTCCTGCGTACTCTGCGTGGTGGGCTTTTTGCTTCCTTTTGTTCGCATCACGTGGATATACGCTTCCATGTTCAAGGCGGCGCGCCGTAACAGCGCCTGCACTCGCCTAAACTTCACCGCCATCGGCAACGAGGTGAGCCAGCCAACGACAGTGCGACCGGAAGTCGGAAACCACCAGTCACCTTACCTGCAGAAGAAATTGGCTTGGTCTAAACGAACCTCTTCGCTTAGTCAAGCGTCTTCGATATTCGGTGACAAGTGGAAAGCCGTACGAACTGGAGTCCTGGTGGTAGTGTCGTTTACCACGTGCTTCCTTCCCTTCTTTTCCATGACTCTGGTAGAACCACACGCCCATACACGCAAGACGGCGCTTTATAACTTGCCTGCCATCGCCATGTTGCTCCTCTTCTGCTCCTCACTCATCAATCCGTACCTTTACGTCATAAGAAACAAGGCTATGCGCAAACATGTGCGCAAGATGTTCACTCGGCTGACGCGTAAGCCGAGTTTCTTCTCTCCGCGGGGCTACCATTTCAGTCACCAAGACCCACTAGAGGAGAGAAAGTTCTCTGACGACTTGAAGTTGTCTGGTATCCCTGTTTCTTTGCGCCACGAAGAGAGCGTCGACTACCGAACGCCCTTCGTTACGCATTCCCTGTGTCAGAGTGAATCGGGTGACTGGAAGATTGTCACGGTCACCACTGACGCGAGGCGTTCGTCTTTCCGCAAGTCTTTCGCCGCCGTGCAACACCCACTCTTTGCGGACAACACGACGGAGGAGCCGAGGCTATGGCAGCAGGAGCACTCGCGTTACAAGGGTAGAACCACACGCAGCCTGCGTGTAGCTGCCATGAGGAGCGGGTTCAACAGACGGGCGTCCTTCGACGGCAAGTTTACGCCGGCACGGTTGCCCAAAATGCTCGATCGAAACTCGCAAGCTAGTGCGGTGAAGCCAACCGCGAATGCCGGAGGTGATCGCAGCATGTCTTTTCGCATGCGCGGCCGCTTCGCAAACCGGGACGAGTCGATCGAAACGTACGACAGGTTTCGCAACAGCAGCTTTTCCAAAGAAGTCTGGACCCGTCAAAACATTGACTCTTACCAGAACGGCCAGCTGAGGAACTACGTACGTGAGCCGCACAGCAGCGTGTCATTTGTCCGTGATGGTGAAGCCTACGACAGATGCCCCGCAGTCGACAGCGTCGTGCAAGTTCACAGTTACGGAAACTTGTCGGCTGACGTCTCTTCCCCAGTGGCCTCGTGCAGTCGCCGACCAGTTCTCAAACGAGGACGGTCATTCGCCTTCGACGAACACGAAATGAGCGTGACGTTTTCGCCACAAAGGATTTCTTGCTCAGGAGGACTCAGGAAGTCTCACTTTGCTTTGGCGAGGCACTCTCCGAGGCACGGCTCTACCGATACTACGACGACCACGCTAGAGTCGCTGACATCCACGGAGTCGTCGCAAGAGGGTCCCGTCAACGCGCCGTCTTCACAGTGTGTGCCGTACTACGAATCACCTTGGCACTTGGCGCAACATTACTGTCAGCATGACCATGCCAGCCGGAACAGTGACGCTTCCGTATCTTCACTTCGTTCATCGATCGCTTCGAAGTGGAACCAACACAGTCACTTGCCATCTCAGTGCCACGATCGGAGGGATTCTGGCTTCGAGGACGCCATGCTGGGAAGGACTGAATTGTGCGACACCATTGTGAATGAATCTGGATCTATCAAGGCTGTGAAATTTTTAGAACGAGTGTAGCTACCGAACCGTCAATTCCCGACATTGAACATTGTATGATGTACATTCGGGTGAATGCTTGTTCTTCGCTCAAGAAACTCCAGATGTTGAATTTACCACAAAGACATTAGTGTCACCAATTTTTGAAAAACAGGTCGAATGTGCCCTCTCCGAAGGTGTTTCACACTATGAACCAAGAAAATGTCTGTGCAGATAATGCGTTCGACAATAAAGTGCTTTTTTGTGGTTGTGTTTTCGGAACATCATGCTGGTCTGATCCCACAGGGCATAAATTGAAATGATTGCAGTATAGAACCACGTTTGAGCATGCTTAGTTCTTAGTAGCGGCGTAGTGCTCTCCGAGGCGAAGATAGTGGCATTGGCTTTGCATTTTCGGCCATATATACCGCATTTTGCTGATGGTAAGAAAAGCGTGTTTATAAGCAACATGTGATAACATAAAAATTGCTTTTGTATGTTTTGTGCGGCACGCTTAGGAATGCTGCTTTGTCCTTCAAGATAACAGTTTAAAAACCTGCTGCTCCACAAATCACAAGCACGGAGATATTAGTGAGACAGTGCTTACCGCTCCGTTATTGAATTTTGTATATGGCCTGGAAGGCTACTGAATGCTTAAAATCAGTGAACATGTGCTACACTCTAAATGCGAAGGCATACCTTGTGGGGCCAACTATACATCGAAGGAAACTTGAGAAACTTAGGGCAATAATTTTTTATAAGCGCTTGCTCCTAACAAGCAACGCTTCGATCACCTCTATAAGCACTACGTCGCTTGTTGCTCTTTATTATTAGTCACCATTCAAATTAACTAAACTACCAGTCAAGGGTGCACCACTTAAAATTCATCCCTCAGTCCTCATCTCACTGCCTCGCGTAAAACGTATTTTCATTAAAGGTTGCTTGTTACTGAAACATTCATGCACTCATGTTAACGAACGATATATCTGAGCGCAGCCCTATTTCACACCAAAAATTTCATTCATGCGGAACGTATAAATAAAGAAATATTTGCGGAAAAACCACTATTCTATCTCACATTCTACGTCTATTTTTTTCTGTGATCAAACATATTCACAAAATAATGTACCTGACAGCCAGAAAATTTAATGCCGTGCAAAAGTCGACTGCTTTAAGAAACAATAACGTTGCTAATAGTATACAATGCAGATTCGAAGGTTTCCCCCCTTTTCAGCTAAGAAAATGCAATGTAGTTGCATCCATAAGTCAGCATGTATATTTAAAATCCAAGTAAAAATAAGCAGTGAAAATTGTACAGTGAACTAAATTAAACTCAAACATGGAAGCATGGTCACATGCGTCAATGCATTTCCACCAATCCATGCACCTAAATATACACAAAGTTCAGCCTCGGCGGGGATATTATTGCCAGTTGACCTGCACTTGTACGCCATTTATTCGCGTTCCTAGTTTTGAATATTCCATTTCATAGTGCATTTATAACTGGGAAACTACACAATGCGTGCTCCACACTTCACTTTTTAGATATAGCTAGGACATTCTAAGCCGAATCATTTTTCGCACCTGCGAGTGTACAGAAAGCAGTATAGTAATTTCATTGTGCTCTGAGGGAATATATTGTTTCAGTGTATTTAATAATGTACTCCCTTGCTTTAACAATATCTGTCATTTCTGACACTGCACTTACGTTGTGTTTTGTTCAAAAATTATAAAAATAAAATGTTTGCACAAAGTTTATGCTTTCATCATGCCTCTTTCCTCATAAAACCAACATACCTTTGTTATCATATCTTTAGGCAAATAATATTTTATGCCAGAGCGAAAGGTCAGTGCTTGAGCCCCTTTAATTGCATTTATTTAAACAAAGGTGTTTTAGTAACCCAGAAATCGAGATAAGAGTATGGCACAGTTTGCGTCGTCAGCGTGAAATTTTAGAACAAGATCACGATGACGTAGTAGGACCTCAGTACAACTACTAGTACTTATACTACTCACGACAGAAAACAACACTGTAGATGACGTCAATACTAGCCTCCTTAAAACTAACATTCCGACGATGACAAGGCACCTTTGACAAGAATAGCTCCTCCTATCGAAACGTCAACCAGCCTGTCTGAGGCACTTACACTTTTCATTCTGCTAATAGCAGTTTTTCACCTCTTTCTTTTCTGGTTATGTTATGCCACTAATGTCTTGATATCTGCCTGAATACACAGTCAGGGGTTCGACTACGTTCGGCATCACTGCAGCTGAATCCGCAACAGTTCTATTGATAAAAAAAGTGTCTGTCACTTTACTCACTGCAACAACTGAAGTTCCGCTTTCACTAACCATGCTCCACAGCACCCGCCAAATAGCAGTAATGCCTAGTTCACACTGAAACATCCGCTTTCTACAGCGACCGAAATTCCCCTGCCGCCGAAACACAGCGTCGTTCGCACTGGACGCACCCCGTGCCGCCGAATATGCCATCTACTACGGGGCGAACGCGGGATGGATGCGCTGTCAACCGGTTGTTGTCGCGGCTCGCAAACGCTACTACGCTATCCAGTGGTGTATACTTCGACGATTCTCGCACTCAAGAAGCAAGAAAAGACAGTACTGCTTACTTTGCTGGCAAGTGGCTGTCTTGTAATGCACGAAGAGCAGAAAAACCACCGACGCCAGCGGCGTTGGTGGGTTCGTTTTGCTTTGCAAGACAGCAACAAGCTCGGTCATGCCAACAGCAAGCTCGGTCACCTCTTTCACGAAATACGGAGGTGAAGTAGGCACAGAGTAGGTTAAACTCCCGTTGGTTTCAACATTCAGTTACGTGCACTGTAGCATAACAAGTGAGTGGGCCTTGGCCGCCATTTTTCAAAATTCCTTGTCTAGCGCTCCTATTGGTCCGCGGTGACCGATTCGGCGGCACATGCCGCAAAAATCGGTCCGAGAGCGATCGGCGCAGAGAGGGCCCTTTCGGCGGATCTCGCCGCCGCCGAACCGGATTCGGAGCACTTTCGGCGGCCGGAATGCTCAGTGTGAACGCGGCCTTAAAAGCAGGCATGACGAATGCTACGTCACAAGGCCCTTTACAGAGCAGGGTGGTTTAGTTGCCCTAACATCACGATAGAACGTGCTTTTCGTTCAAACTAACCATTCCATTGGCACAAAAAGAAACAATACCAGGTTTCTGGATTGTTGCAACAACAGTCTACAGTCGACACAATATTTCCCTTGGATTTCCGTTATAGTTGGAGTTATGACTCTTTAGTACGTCAGAGTTGTTAAAGAACGCACCTGACATCTTTTATTCAGTCTTTCAAAGTGATACTATTTGCTTAATTTTACTCTCAATAATAGGGCATTCTATCCTGTGCACCCCCTCCCCTCCCTCCTTAGCATCGAAATAATATTTAGGGTTTAACATCTCAAAACTATGATCTGATATTAGGGACGACATACCGAATGTCTCCAGGAATTTCGGCCATTGGGTATTCAGTAACGTGCACATAATACAGTATTCGCGCATCTAGCCTTTCGCCTCTATCAAAATGTGACCATTGGGGCCGGGATAAAACCCGTGACCTTCGATTCAGCAACCGAGTGAGTGCCGTAAGTGCTAAATTACCACGGCGGATTATACACTATCGTCGGTACCGCCAGAAACTTACTATTAATGAAAACATGCCACCAACGAGAAGTTACAATCGACTCTAATTGAAACGTTTTCAATCGGCATATACATGTGGCCATCATTATTATTGTTCGCTTAATGCACATGGAGCCCGTCGTGAACAGCACTCAGCAAGTACGGCTTCTTGTCAGTCGAGCAGGCTTCCAGGTCATCCTGCTCTATGTGCAGTACAGCGATGCCCAGGAGATGCTTCTTTTTCACCAGTTCAGTCTGCGGCAAAGAAAATTGCATAACGCAGGGACTGCTGAGTTGCAGCTATATTAGTACGACAGGTACGAGCGCTCAGCGCAGAATGTTGAGATGCAAAACGTATAGACAGGAGGTGTGAGTCTTGACTTCTATGCATTTGTTTCCCAAGATCGTGTTAATCTCTTGAACACAGGACGAAAAACGAGAATCGAGTGACCCATAGGTGATCATGAAACCTTACAGGCATAAAAACAGTGCGCCAACAGACCGCAGCAAGCGGTAAGAATAAGGCAGTATCGCTTCATTGTGTTCGGGATTATTAAACGTGCACGTTTCATTGCACCGGATTTCTAGGATGCACCAGTGGGGATAAATTAGGAGCGGTACTCGTTACTTGTTCTCTATGGGGCGCTCCACTTCAGCAAATTCTGATTGTACAAAAAGCGAGGGGGCCAGAATAAGTGGTGAACATCGGCTTCTATATCTATTTATTAGGTGCACGCTGAAACGGATCGTCAATACCACTCCAAGCCTACATACAAGTAAAACAGGTTTATGGCCTGCTGCGTCTGATGAACTTCGAACTAAATTCAGCGCGGATGTTTTGACTCATTTACAAAACATTCCTCGCCCACTCACATCCAAATCTGCCGAACTATTTCTGCTACCTAGCGTTTTTGGCAGGCCACTACACTTTGTACGCATCCTTAATAACCACGCCTGGATGAAGTACGGGGCAGATAACATATTACCCAACTGAAGTTTTCACTAGATTGTCCAACGTAAAAGTCATGTAGTACATCTGTTCACCTAGGAAACAAGAAAGCTCTAAAAATTAGCGAAATATATGTGTACCGGTACATGTTTTAGCTTTTTCTGGTGGGGACAGATTTCGTGGCAAGCAAGAAAGGCTGAATGGTCCAGGCAAAAAAGTCAGGTCCTCGCAATATTCAGACGCGTGCGTAATCTTCATTTCCCATTCATCTCTACTAAGTGGTTTGATGAGTTTGGTAATAATGGAGCAACAGGTGTGCTTGACGCTTTTTGCTCTTATGCTACCTGAGTGCTCGTCTAAGCTTTCTCAAACATGCCTGTGCCTTTGAAGTTTATTTTATTACCACTTTATTTTTCGACCAGTACTTACCTATTTCGTAAAAAAAGCTAAAGCGAAAGAAAAATTAAGTGTGTGCCAAACGCGATGATGTCACTCAACAAATATCGAAATGCGGCACTAGAAACTGACTTGATATATTTTTTTCTCACATACCAAATGATTTAGAAGGAAGTGAGTTTGAATTGCACCAACAGAAACAGTGCTTCTTTTGGTGCACTTCAATTTCAAACCTACGTCGCAATTACTACTTTTTCGTGTGCTTTCACTGTTGTGTCTATTTGG